AGCAACTGAGTCCAGGTATGTTCTTGTTTTTAGTTTTTTGGTTTCGGATCAAACACAGTAGTCCAGGCTCAAAGGAGGAGGTTCAAAGGTCAGGGACTTGGGCCATGTGTGGACCTCGGAACAGCGGGGCTGATACCTTCCTGATACTCGAGGAAGTAAAAGGCATTGATTTGGAGCCATTTCTTTTGTACATCCAAAGCAAGTGCTCTGGAGACCCCCTTAAGCCAGCCATTGCGGATTGGTCGGAAGTCGTTCGAAATGTTAAGAGTGACGTCCGAAGACTGATTGCTATCAAGGACAATGAGCAGCCTGGCGATGAAAGTAAGTCCATACGTTATACATTTTTTGTTTATTTTTAATTTATGTTTTTTGTAGAGTATGCTCGAACGAACTTTGGATACGTATTTTTCTCGGACAAGGACAATTCATCAGCTCTCTCATATCAAAAGTCTAATCCGATGGATATATACGCCTCGAGTGTTATTATCGGCTCCAATTTTGGTATGATCGAGCAGATTGCAGCTGTAAGGCATACCAAAAAGTGTACGAGAGAGATGTGATCACCAGTATTTAGTGGTAAAGGAGGCTTTCCAGGTGCGATTCAGCTAGACTTTGATACCAAGAGAGTCTTACGATTCTGGTTTTCCTTTGGTAGGTGACTGGATTCTCTATTGGTGACAGTAAGGGAAACGGCATAGATAATGTGTTGACGTTGAGTGCACAACAATCCATATTTAAGTTTATTTAAGAAATTTAGTTTAAAAAGTCATAATTATTATTATTTCAGTTATTTTAAATTCATGTATAGTCATATATAGTAAATCCATATATATGTATTTAGCCTGAGCTTAGGTGTCTCTCTTAAAACATTTCCTTCTCTTCTGTTTGATTATTTACAAGCAGCCATGTAAGTACTTCATTTGATTGATATCTTTTAGATTTCTTGCTCTTATAGTTGGCATATTAAATTACGTCCACGGATGTAACAAAGTTTCCCTTTTGACCGTTGAATTTTTGTCAAAAGTTCCAAAGTGGAATGGTTATATCAATAGAAGTTGAGACTACTCGAGAATAAGTAGTGGGATTGAGATAGAGGAAGAGTCTCAAACAAGTTTAGCGAGAACTAAACCAATGAAAGGGAGAGAACCACCACAGGTGGTCGATCGAGTCTTTATGTTAAAGAGACCATGCTTCTTGGAGGATGGACAACACATAATGAGCCTTCGGTGTCAAACTATTGACAAATATTGGCTAGGTGCCAAGGATGGAAAGGGTAATACATGCTAGTATTACTTTATAAAATAATTTATCGTTCAATGAAGGCATCGAACTTCATCTATAGGTGGTGGAGTTGTGAGACACAAATCCCTAAGCCCCAAAGTGGAGCTAAAAGGGTGCCATATGGTAGTGGTTAAAGCGAGAGCCAAATAAGCGTAACATGTTTGAACTAAAAGCTCCAACTTGAAAGGTTGAGAGTGGGCCGAGAAGGAGTTCGAAATAGACTCGAAATGGAGTCCGAGATGGACTTGAGATGAAGTCCGAGATGGAGTCCGAGATGGAGGGCCTGAGGTCACTCATACATACCCGGAGTCCAGTGGTTGCGTTGGGGAGAGCCATCCCGCGAGCTGTCGGCATGTGTCGCCGATGTCGAGGGAGCGGCACCATTTTAACAGAATACACGCTTTTCCACGAGTCGTGTGTGGAGTTCAGGGTTGAAACTCACATATTCACGATCGGAAGGAAGAGCGGAATCCAACGGTATATTCCGTTTTGACTCGGTCAGCAGGGATACAGTCGGAATATTGGGGAATATTCCATTCTGACCGTTGACTACGCGTTGACCGTGCGTTGACTCGAGATGGGGGTGGCCTGAAGTGACTTGGGACATACCTGAAGTCCATTGGCCAGACCCTGGGAGTCATCGGGTACGCGGAGAGGGATGCAAACATGTGCTTCCGTGTCTTGAAAAGTGCGGTACAAGACATGGCTAGGCTCGCGGAGGGAGCTTAGCCCTTACCAGGAAAGAACCGAGGTTTGGGGAGCATCTCCAGCACGTAATCACTCGGGGGAGTGTGTCTGCGGGAGCTTCATCCATCACCTGTTTAGGGTTTAGGATGTCCCCCAAGCCTAGCTGCGCACTGTGGAGTGTGTAAGGCAGCTTGAAGGCGAGGGGGGCCTGTCGACAGGCATCGCTAGAGTGGCGCGAACTTGCGAGGAGAGCTTGATGTCGCTGGTCGTAGGAGATGCCGGAGAAGCAGTGATGGAGGAAGGAAATCGGGTATCCCCGGGCACGGAGGCGGTGGTAGAACCGCGTGCGCATGGCGTGGAATCCATCGGCCGTGCTCTCGTGGAGGAGGTATCTGTGGAGCTCGCTGCGGATGAATGCCACTTTCTGGTGCCATGGGTGAACCGACGTCCAGGGAAGGTACTGGTAGGCATTGAGCGGCTTCTGGAACGTGGACGAGTCGAGGCAGCCTGTCTCTTCAAAGCGAGGGCCTTTGAAGAAGTGGATATCGAGGATATCCAACTCTTCGAGCGAGATCACCGAGGTGATCTTGATCGAAGGACACAGCGTGCTGTATCCTCGGAGCCATCGTTCGAGACCTGCTCGTGTACCTGTCCAAATGCCCACTCCGTCATTTATGTACCTTCGTAGATAGAAGGGCCAGTCGTTGGTGGCATGCTTGTACTCGGCTTCGAGAGAGCAGAGGAAGAGGCAAGCGTAGACCACCTCGAAGTTGGAGCCCATTGCTGTGCCACGGATCTGCTGGTAGATGTTACTGTCGAACTCCACATAGTTGTGCTCCAGGACGAGGGCAGCCGCAGCCATGAGGAACCGCAAGCTTGTGGTGTTGCCGTACTCGGCAAACACAAAGTCGCGGAGGCGTTGGAGACCTTCTCGTGTGGGGATGCTTGGGTAGAGGCTCTCTACATCGAACGTGAAGAGCCAGCAGTCCCACGGGAGCTATAGGTGGAGGAGGTCCTGCAGCAGCATGCGCAAGTCGGAAAGAAACGTTGGCTGCTTCAGCAGGATGTCGTAGAGCTGGCGGTGAAGCCAACGCGCGAGAGGCTCCCACAAAGTCCCAATGTAGCTCGCAATGGGCCGGCCCTTTATTGGCTGCTTGTGTATTTTCGGAAGAAAATACAGCATGCAAGCCTGCCAGGGTACGGCGGGCTGGTGCAGCAGGAACTGCTGCGTGGAGTTGTCGAGCCACGAGCAGCTGCGGTACTTTGTGATGAGCTCGGCGAGGCGTTCCTGGAGGGATTTGGATGGCATGGAGGGGACCTTCACATAAATGAGTGGGACGTTCAGTTGGCGGAGAGCCTCCTTCGTGTACCAATCGTGATCCAGCACCACCGTTCCAAGATTTTTGTCCGCAGGCTTGATGACGATGGATGTGTCCATTGCGAGAGAGTGGAGAGCACACTTTTTCCAACCATGAGCAAAGGAGCGAGGCTTGTGTGCTCCTTCCAGCCTGTGGAGCAGGCTGCCTCACACGTGTGCAAGGCGCCGTTCCACATGCGCTGGTGCTGGAAGCTCGGGTTCGGTACTCGGAACTCCGGCAGGGCTGAGTCGTCGTCCTTGAAGAGGTGACAGAGTCGGACGGCTCGGCAGAGAGCGTCAGAGCTTTCCACGATCTGTGGGGCTCTGAGCGGTGCCGGGTTCGGGATGTACCTCAGGCCGAGGGAGAGGAGGCGGATCTTGGCAGCCGAAAGAGCCCTGCTCAAGAGGTTGTGTACGGCTCCAGTCTCCACTCGATTCTCATATCATGCCACGTTCACAAGTTATCTTGCGTCAAAGGTACATCACCTGCCAGAAGAATGCTTACTGTCTTCGGCGATCCAGTTTAGGGTTTAGGGTTTAGGGTTTAGGGTTTTAGGTTTAGGGTTTAGGCACATTTAGGCGCTTGCTGTGTTTAGGGTCAAAGACACCCCGGTTTAGGGTTTAGTGTTTAGGGTTTAGGATTTAGGCGCGTTTAGGCGTTTAGGGTCAAAGACACCCTGCGGTGCTGCAATCCGGCGAGATCGCGACACCACTTTGTGCAATCCACATTCTCCGTGTGCCGTTGTCGAAACGGCGTGATCGAGAGCAAGTAGAGGAGGCGAGGGAATGAATTTTCATTCATTCGTGAGCGAGGGAGAGGACAAGAGACAACCCGAGACCGGTTTCGTCCTTTTTGGGACTCATCAGCTGGGTGTAGTCGTCTAGTGTTTACCCTAACCCTAGCTCGGTGCCGGACACTTTCATATGTCATGTGTTGGTCCTCTTGTGTCCCTTTTCTAGAGACTCACTTATTGCTCACTTCATGCTTGTTCCTCAAGCACTTCGTTGGGAGTTCCACTCCCACTCTCAACCTTTCAAGTTGGAGCTTTTAGTTCAAACATGTTACGCTTATTTGGCTCTCGCTTTAACCACTACCATATGGCACCCTTTTGGCTCCACTTTGGGGCTTAGGGATTTGTGTCTCACAACTCCACCACCTATAGATGAAGTTCAATGTCTTCATTGAACGATAAATTATTTTATAAAGTAATACTAGCATGTATTACCCTTTCCATCCTTGGCACCTAGCCAATATTTGTCAATAGTTTGACACTGAAGGCTCATTATGTGTTGTCCATCCTCCAAGAAGCATGGTCTCTTTAACATAAAGACTCGATCGACCACCTGTGGTGGTTCTCTCCCTTTCATTGGTTTAGTTCTCGCTAAACTTGTTTGAGACTCTTCCTCTATCTCAATCCCACTACTTATTCTCGAGTAGTCTCAACTTCTATTGATATAACCATTCCACTTTGGAACTTTTGACAAAAATTCAACGGTCAAAAGGGAAACTTTGTTACATCCGTGGACGTAATTTAATATGCCAACTATAAGAGCAAGAAATCTAAAAGATATCAATCAAATGAAGTACTTACATGGCTGCTTGTAAATAATCAAACAGAAGAGAAGGAAATGTTTTAAGAGAGACACCTAAGCTCAGGCTAAATACATATGTATGGATTTACTATATATGACTATACATGAATTTAAAATAACTGAAATAATAATAATTATGACTTTTTAAACTAAATTTCTTAAATAAACTTAAATATGGATTGTTGTGCACTCAACATCAACACATTATCTATGCCGTTTCCCTTACTGTCACCAATAGAGAATCCAGTCACCTACCAAAGGAAAACCAGAATCATAAGACTCTCTTGGTATCAAAGTCTAGCTGAATCGCACCTGGAAAGCCTCCTTTACCACTAAATACTGGTGATCACATCTCTCTCGTACACTTTTTGGTATGCCTTACAGCTGCAATCTGCTCGATCATACCAAAATTGGAGCCGATAATAACACTCGAGGCGTATATATCCATCGGATTAGACTTTTGATATGAGAGAGCTGATGAATTGTCCTTGTCCGAGAAAAATACGTATCCAAAGTTCGTTCGAGCATACTCTACAAAAAACATAAATTAAAAATAAACAAAAAATGTATAACGTATGGACTTACTTTCATCGCCAGGCTGCTCATTGTCCTTGATAGCAATCAGTCTTCGGACGTCACTCTTAACATTTCGAACGACTTCCGACCAATCCGCAATGGCTGGCTTAAGGGGTCTCCAGAGCACTTGCTTTGGATGTACAAAAGAAATGGCTCCAAATCAATGCCTTTTACTTCCTCGAGTATCAGGAAGGTATCAGCCCCGCTGTTCCGAGGTCCACACATGGCCCAAGTCCCTGACCTTTGAACCTCCTCCTTTGAGCCTGGACTACTGTGTTTGATCCGAAACCAAAAAACTAAAAACAAGAACATACCTGGACTCAGTTGCTTGATTGAAACTGGAAAAGTGGGGAACCTGAACTTTCGGTTCTTCAGATTGTCAGGGATGTACCAATCGCAAGGCAACACGTCCGCCAGCATGAAGGTGTCTGAACCCCCCGATAGTAACTGCAAATAACATGTTAGTAACCGAGACTATGAAAGACTATGAACGTAGAATTCACATACCTTATGAATGTAGATGCTGAAGATCAGAGACACCAAATCGTTGTCTTCCTTCTGCTTCCAATCATCCGTTGACATTGTTGTCAAATCAAAAGTTGTAGAGCCAAAAAAGTCCTCCCGCTGGAGTGTTAGCTTATGCAGTAACACAGGTGAAAACTCCACCAGAGCCTTTTCTTCGTCAAGAACCACAGCCACTACTCCACAACTCTCCAGAGCTTCCCATGTCAAAACATTCTCTCTTGGAAAGGCCTGCAGCAGAACCGGTCCATTCCTTGAGACATGCTCACGAAGCATCGATGCTTGAATTGCTCGTAAGAAATAAGAAAATCTCTCATCCCCGGCAAAGCCATTGTAATACTCGAATCTTCTGCATAGGCTCCACACACGATCCAGAATCCGCCTTACTTTGTCTCTCAGGAAGGGCTCCTGAATTCTCAGCGCAAGGTTGTCAATGTCAAGGGCCATGTCTGGGTCATCTGAAGCCAAAGCCTGAACCATGAAGGTAATCAACCTCGGATTCCCTCCGCTCAGCTTGCACAACAGCTGCATGCCATCATTTAAAGCGTGAAGTTCTTCACGGTTTGAAGTCCTCAGCACCTTGTTAAAGACTTGCAACACCAGCTTCTCCCGATCGCTGCTGCTGAGAGGGTTGACAGGAATATAAATCACTTCAGATGATCCAGTGTCACCGCTCTCTCTCAAAGATGCCGCTGTGAAAAGGTTGGTCGCTCCGAGCATAGTGACAAACGTTTTGCCACCCACGTTGCTGTACTTCCAAACTATGAACTCCCGAAACACTTTCTGAACAAGGACGTTGTTCCTCCCAATCTCATCAAAGAAGAACGACAGGAAAATGTTTTGGTCTCCGAGCTCGCAGACTTCTCGCAACAAAGCTATCACGTCATCAAACAGGAGGAACTTCTTCAAATCAGGTGCTTTGGCATCAACAACAGCGACAAGCTCTTGGTAAAAAAAACACGTCCAAGTCCCAGTATCTTTTCTGATGTTATCTTGGCCATCTGCTCTAGAAACAGCTGCATGCAAAGTCCTCAGGGCCAAAACCTGAGCATCACCCAGCCCGGCCTCGCCAATGAAAGTTGAAATAAAATCATGGTACATGACCACGTCGAGATGTTCAACGGTGCTCATCATGGCATCCCACGGTCGCACCTCATCGATTGATGTATCGAAAAGCGAGGCAAGTTGTTGAATCCTTAGCCCTGGATCACTCTGTTGCCTTCTCATCTCAATGAGTATTTGTGGGAGTGCCTTGCCAAATGATGTTTTTCCCGCACCCGGGAATCCAACCACACCCATTATATGGTGGAGGCACCTAAACACATCCCAGTCTGTGTGTTGATTGCTCATGAATTGCTTGTACAA